GCGCGTGGCGCCGCCGCCGAGCCCGCCGAGTCCACCGCCGCCGCCGCCGAGCCCGCCACCGCCGCGTCCGATACCGCCGCCGCCGAGCCCACCGCCGCCGCCGAGTCCGCCGCCGCCGCCAAAGGTTGATTGCGAAGGCTCGCACGGCGACCGCGCGACGGGTCTGTATCAGCAATACAACGAGAGGTGCACCGATGATGAGGGCGTGCCGGCGAACTGCGTCGGTGAGCGCGGATGTCAGTTCTGTCACCTCGCGGAGACGCCCGCGGCGAAGAGTGGGTCGACGGAAAAGTGCACCGCGTGGGTCTGCTCGAAGTACGACGTCACCGGTTGCCTCGGCGTGGCAAAGCGAAGTGTGAAGAAGCACTACGACATCGGCGACTGTAAGAACGACGTGGGCAATCGTAACGTCGGCAGACACGTGTTCCGAGATTGGGACTGCGCGAACGACGAAGGTGTGCCGAGCGCGTGTCAGAAACCGGGAGAGACGCCGTGTAGACTTTGCCTGTTGAAATCCGCCGAGTCGAAACTTGAGGGATGGCCGCATTGTCCGGAAGCGGTGTGCCACTTTATGAACATCGACGAAGAAGAGTGTCCAGGGATCGACTACGTGCCAAAGATCAGTAAGAAACGCCATCATCACAAGAAGAGCGAGGAAGAGGAAGAGGAAGAGGAGCCGAAATCGAAGAAATCAAAAAAGGTCGCGGAGGACGACGATGCAGACGCAGAAGAGGAAACCTCGTCGAAGAAACATTCAAAGAAGCACTCGACAAAATCGAGCGACGACGAAGACGACGATACCGCTGAGTTGGGGAAGAAAACGAAGCATCATCATTCGCACAAACACAAGAAAGCGGAGGAAGTCGACGACGCAGAGGATGAAGACGATGAATAATTTTTAGCGAATGTAACGATGAAGAACAAGTTGATTAAAAACATTATCTGCGCGCGTGATTCACTTTTTGTTGGCTATGAACCATCAACCATTTCAAATTCTGGCCGAACTCCTGCGCGCTGAGCTCATGCGTTGCGTAAGCGACGTTCAGCAGTTCGCGCACGTCGCTCTGATCCGCGAGCATGGAATCCCAAACTGGCGCGTGTTTCTTCAGCACCTCGACGTGATCGTCATCGAACGCGCGCGGATCATTGGTTAATTTACCGTCTGCATCTAGAAGGTTAAACGAATTGAGCGTGTTCGTCAACCCCGCGCTCTCCTCCTTGGTGATTTTCCCAAAGCTCTCCTCGTAGAAGAAAGTGTCTGAGACGACGTGATCGTTAAGTTTCGACTCTTTGACCTGTACTCCCGCCCGCTTGAAGTCGGCTATTGACTGCGCGATGAGCTCACTCGTTCGCTCATCTTTCGGCATGTATGAGAAAACCGTGGGCGGGTACGTGGACAGGTCGGCTCGAGGCGTGTTCTCGAGCGTCGGACCTGGCGCGATTTGAATGATCAACCCGCTCGGTTGCACTGGAAGCTTCATCTGAGGCAACATTCCGACGAACGAGCCGCCGCTCGAGGCACCAAAGGCGTACAATGGCAAATCACTCAGTGCGGTGTCGTTGAAGAAGGTGTTCAAAACCTGTTCCATGCGAGGCGCGTCGATCTCTTTGCTCCAACACGTCCCGTACGCGGACACCGCGATTACGACGAAACCGCGATTGAGCGCCGTACGCGTGACGCTCATCTCCTGCGCCAACCCCCTACACGTCTCGCACTTTGTGTTATTAGCGAACCAATCCTTCGCGCTGTGATGACATCCATGCAGGACCAAGAGCGCGCCCACCGGCGCCGTGGCCTCAAGTTCGCCCTTTTCGTTCTCCGCCGCCGGTCCCTCCCAAATCGTCTCGATCCCGTCGTCACCAACCAACCGCCGCTCCGCGTTCCACCCCATGCTCACGTACGCCACCGAGCTATCCCCGATCAACAGCTCTCGTTCGCCGCTCTCTTCTTCCTGTCGCGCCACCACCTTCTCCGCCGTCGCCGCCGCCTTTTCCCACGCCTCACCCGTCTCCCTCCGCTCCCGCGCCTCCAATCCACTCTCGCTCTTCCTCGTCACCGACGCGATCGCCCCGCACGTCGCGGCGATGACGATCATGGCGATCACCGCGTGCAGCGCGCTCCGCGCCCCCGCCCAGCCCCCGCCCAGCCGTCCGCGCGCCCGACGGTCGCCATCGTCCCATCGCGCATCCATTCGTCCATCCACCGTCGTCTCGCGCGTCTCGCTCGTCGTCGCCCCGAACGACCACGCCCGCCCGCGCGCGCGCACGCGCTCTCGCTCGCCCGCGTCCCACATCGCGCGCGGCGTCGAGATCTGACGCCCGAGCGACGATCGACATCCCCGTGGGTGTTGCGCCGCGATCGAATTCGCGCATTGCCCGACGCGGCATGGCGCGCGACGCCGCGTCGACGTCGACGCCGTCGATGGACGCGCGCGACGCCGCGTCGACGCGCGACGCGCGTGCGGTGCGCGCGAGGGCGAACGCGGGGCGCGACGACGGCGAGACGCGATCGACGACGACGTGGACTGATCGTTGACGACGGCGACGCAGGCGAGCGACGAGGCGAAGCGCGCGCGACGCGACGGACGCGAGCGATGGACGCTGTGGGGGGTGGACGGGCGCGGTGCTCCGGCGCGCGCGATGGTGGTGGTCGTGGGTGGATTGTTCGCGTGCGCGTGCGCGCTGGCGGCGGCGCGAAACGTCGGCGCGGACGCCGGAGGACGCGGCGTCAAGCGCGTGGGCGGATCGCGCGCACGCGTGGGCGGTCGTGGGGTGGTGGTGGACGGCGCGCGCGTGCGCGCGAGAGGTGGTGACGCGACGTCGAGGTGGGCGGCGCTGGAGGTTCCGGATCGGTGCGCGCGGAGCGAATTCGCGCCGAGCGCGGTGATACCGGGACTCGAGTTGCACGAGATGGACGGTGCGCGGGCGTTTTATCTGAGTAAGGAGAAGAAAACCACGGTGCATGAGCGAACGAGCGCGGAAAAGCAGGAGGAGGAGGCGGTGAAGGAGGAATTGAAGGAGGCGAAGAAAGCGATGCGAAACGCCGAGAACACGCTCGAGGACGAAATCGAGACAGAGCAGGCAGAGCTCAAGATCATGGAGGGGAAGTCGAAGTTGCCCAACGTGAAGGGTAAGGGAAGAAAACTTCTTGAAGACGACGACGACGACGACGACGACGACGACGACGACGACGATGACGACGACGAACGCGCTGATGGTAAAAAGGTGAGCAGCTCGGTCGTTTTGAAGGATGGAAAGTATGTGACGAGATTTCGATTTCAAAACCCTCTTTTTCTCGAAGGAATGTCGAGATTCATGGATCTGGGGAGCGAGACGACGGAGCGACGATTGATGTTTCACGCTGGGAACGTCACTGGGTACGACGCGAGGTGTCAGTTTAGGACGATGCAGTGCGCGGACATGGCGACGGATTTACTCGCTCGCGCGCTCAAGATGAACGCCGAGGCGGTGGTGAGTCCGGAGGCGAGCGCGGACAAGCTCAAGGAGTTGTCGAACATCCTGATCAAGTACTCCACCGATCCGCGCACCAAGTACAACGCGACGGAACTTCCGTCTCTCGGCGGAAAGCCACAAGCGATGGGTTCGTGCGCGTGGACGACGGAAGCTGAATACAATCCAACCACGGGCGTGCGATACGATCATTCCATCAGTCGCTTCGCCAAGGCGATCGACGCACACGACACCGCGGTTTACTGCAACGTCAAGACGGAACGAAAGTACTGCAAGTTCACCCGGCTCGCGGACGGTCCGGAGAGCGCCATCACGGTGGACCTGGACGAGCAAGCGTACGAAGCGGCCAGAAGTGTCGGACGGCTCATCCACGACGCGCTGTCCGCCGATCTTGAACTCGGCTCGAACGTCAAGGGTTGGGGCTATCGTGGACATCCGTCTGACGCATTCGTGTCGCTTCTCATGCTCCTTCGATCGAACCGCTGCACGCGCGTCGACGTCTACGGTCAACCGGGCGTACCGCTCGACTGGTACCACAACGCCCGAGGATACGCCCACATGGTCGCCGTTCCGGGTACAACGATATCCGATCTTCAACTATCCCGCGTGCTCCTTCAGGAAAAATTCTTTCACCGCGTCCTCATGCACTACGGAAAAATGTGCTTCTTCAAGTAAACTGGACTCACCACTGTAACATGCGAGCGTAAATTTCATTCATTACATCTTGTCTCACGCGGCGTCTCCGCGAGCGCCTACTTCTTCGTCTTCTCTTGATCTTCGATCCCAGCCGCTTTCGCGTAGTGATCCGTGATCGCGCCGACGTTACAGCCGTACTCGGCGTAACACGCCTCCAATCGCGCGCCCTCCAATCCTTCGCACTCCTTGATCGCCTCTTTGATGTCATCGTAGTCACAGAATCCATCCGCGCCGCCGCCACCCGTGGTGAACTTCTCCGCCAACGCCTCCGCCGCCTTGGTCGGTCGCCCGTCGTCGTCTCGCGACGATTTCACGACGCGCGTCGCGCATCTTTGACGCGTCGAGCGCATTGTGCTCGATGCCGATTCGTTCCATTTCGACGCGCGTGCGGCGCCGCGCGGGGGAATCACCGCGCGCGCGGTGGCGGATCGGAGTGACATTGCCGTGCTCTCGATGTCGATCGCGCGCGCGCGTCGGTGCGTGACGCGCGCGCCGTGAACGGTGTGACGATGGCGATCCGGATGCATCCGAGTCAGCACCCGCGCGGCGGCGCGGACGCGACGCGGCGGACGCGGCGCGCCTCGGTGTCGGTCGCGCGTGAAGGGGGCTTGACTGTTTTACACGTACACGAACGAATGCGGGGAGCTAGAAGCGGCTGAGACGGTCGAGGGCGGAGACGCGATTGGCGTCGGCGGCGCTCGCGAGCTCGGCGTTCGTGGCTTTGACATCGACGTCCGCTCGGGTGGCGTCTCGAAACGCGCACGAGTGGTTGGATTCGAGGTACTCCGCGCACTCGTCGTCGGTGGAGAAACCGAGAGAGGAGGCGATGAAGGAGACCGGGATCGTGGGGGCGTGCGCGCGGAGGAGGGCGCGGAAGGCGTCCGCGCGAACCGCCGGCGACATGACGTCCATGAGATGCGCGCTCATTCTCGGAGCGATATCGTACAGCGAGAAGAAGCGGTGGAAGTTGGAGGAAGCCAACGCTTCGCAAACTTGAAACGCGTGCTTGACGTATGCGTGCGTCTTGAGCACGTCAGGGACGTCGCGCAGTTCCCTGGAGAGGGCGGCGGCGCGCTCGCTTTTCGCCCCCGCGCCGGCTGCGTAAATCAACCTGTACGCCGCGAACTCAGCGATGTCGTCCACGCCTTCGAGTTTATCCGCGCCGTCCTTGCCCGCCTCGCCACCCCCAAACGAGTGTCTTTTGGCGTTCTCCATGGACTTTTTCCGTTTCTTCGTGCTCCGGGACGTCGATGTCTCCGCGACCGCGCGCTCGAGCGCGTGGGCGTGCAGCGATTTGAGCACCGCCGAGCATTGATTGTACTCAGCGAGATCGCAGCACTCGAGCGCGACACGAGCGTGCGTCTGGTACGTCTCCAACACCAACGCGCCGTCGCGAATGTGTTGTACCGTAAGATCTTGCCTAATCGACTTCAACTGATCCTTTGCGTACTCGTAGTCTTTATTCGCTCGCCATTTGCTCTTCACCAACTCCAACGCGCGCTCCAAAACGCTCGGCGGTCGCACCGTCGCCATGGAAGGCGCCTCCGTGAGTCTGAGATATGTCTTCTCTAGTGACTTGTTCGTGCCCACCGCACTCGCGTCGATCATCTTCATCTCTTGCATAGTCGGCGTTCCTCTACCTTTTGACTTTGCAACCTCTCGCGAGAACTCCAACGCCTCCCGCGCGAACCTCCGCGCTCGATCGTCTCGCGCCGATCGCTCCTCCGACGTCGCGAAATCAACATTCTGCGACGCCTCGCTCATCGTCTTCCGCTTCTTCGGCTGTGTCTTCGCCTCAATCGCCGGCGCGTCGCTCGCCTCCGCGCGAGCGTACACAGCCGCCCCGAACCGCGGCGGCTTCGCCTCTCTCGCTTCCACTCTCCCCGTCGTCGTCGCCTCCGACTCGCGCCCAAACGAGCGTTCGCTCAATGTCGGCGAGACCGGCGCCGGGTGCTCGCTCACGTCACGCTCGGCGTTCGCCGCCGCTCTGGCGCACCGCTTCCGCAACTCCGCCGCGAGCTCCGCCTTGACGTCTTCGTCCTTGCACGCGAGCAAAGCCTTCGCTATTCGCGCCAACGCTCGCCGCTCTTCCTTGGGCATCGCCCGCAGCGCGTCCGCATCGACGTCGACGCTCCCATCGGGTTCGACGTCCCGCGGCGTCGCGCTCGGCGGCGTCGGCGCGGCGCGGTGATGGAATCCACTTTGATCGTACGCGTGCGCGCCGTACTGCGGCGGATACGCGTACCCCGACGGCGGGGGCGGGGGCGGAGGGCGATGTTGAGGTAACGGCGGTGGTGGAGGGGGCGGAGGGCGATTGACGTACGGGGGCCACCGCCCATCCATGACGCTTCGCACAGTGCGGCTGCGCGACGCGACGGACGCGGATGACATGTCGATCGCGTCACGGCGGGATACGTGTTCTAAGAATCGCTAGGTTTACTATATTTGACGCACGCTCGCATGATGTCGAAACATTCTCGCGAGTACTCGTCGAGATTGGGCGTTTCGAGGCTCTCGCGCGCGACGCGCGCCAAATCCGAGGCTTCGTCGACGTCCGCGAGCGTCTCCATGTCCGTCGTCGGTCGCAGCCCTCGAGCGCGACACGCTTCGACGCACGACTCTAACGTTCGCGACGTACTCCAAGGGACGTCCCCGAACGCCGCTCGGAGCGCGTCGATGTTTGATTTCGTCGCTCGCACGGCGACGCAATAAAAACCGCCGTCGCCGCACGGCCCGAACGCCACCGCGCCGTCTTCGACCATCGCTAAATCTCTCGCCCGCTCGAAGTGTCTCGCGCTAAACATCGGCACGTCCGTACCCGCGACGCACACGACGACGCTCTCCGGGTCCACCGCGCTCGATTCCGCGCGCTTTCGCGACGCGCGCTCGAACGCGTCCGCCACGCGCGTCCCGACGTCCGAGCTCTGGATTTGCGTCTCGCACGGAATCTCTCGCCTCGCGGCGATTCCCCAAGCGGCATCGGTGCGCAGCAGCGCCGCACACGCGACGCGGTCGTCCTCGCTCGCGCAGTAAAACGTCGTCGCGGTCGCATTGATGTTTCCAGTCTGCCAAAGGATGCAACGCACCATGGCGTCGTACGCGCGAGACGCGAGAGTTCGATCGTTCAGACCTCTCGCGAGTCTCGTCTTACACTTCGGTGACGTCGGGGCGCGGCCGAAGAGGACTAACGTCGCGTCGTTCGCGTCGGACATGTCGCGCCGCGCGCTCGATAGTGAGGTGCGGCTACAACGAAGGACGCCGTGACATTGGCTAGAGTTTGGAGTTGGCCTCAAAGCATCGGGCGAGGATGTCATCGGCGCACGCGAGACCGCTCGCGACGGCGCCTTCGACGGTCCCGACGGGCTCGGCGCAGTAATCACCTATGGCGTACACGAGGGCGCCCGAAGTGGCGGAGCGCAAGAATTTATTCACTCTCGCGCCGCGCGCGACGGCGAGTGGAAAGGCGGCGCCCCAGCGATGCGCTCGAGCAAACGTTATCTCTAACGGTGCCGCCGCGGTCGGCGAGCTCGCCTCGGCGAGACGAACGAGTCGTATGAACGAAGCGGACATTTCGTCCGCGACCTGGTCGATCCACGCTGCCCACTCTGGGGAGCCGGGACGCGTCGCCGACGTCTCGGGCGTGACTTTCTCCCGAGCGTATCGCTCCGTGGAGAGCGCGATCCAGCAGTTCGTACTCGCGTTTCTTCCCGATTTCGACGATTCGTTCGCGATCCACGAGAGCGTGGAGTCATTATCTACATCGGCACCGACGAACGGGACCATGGGCGCGCGGTTGAGCGTCACCATGAGCGCCAGCGACGGCGCCGAATCCACCGCTCGCATCTCGCGCGCCACGTCCTCGGCGTCGAGTCCGTCCATCACCCCGACCGCGCGCGCGATGTTTTTATCGGCAAAAACCACCACATCATACCCCGTTTCGACATTTTCTTCCCCATTCTTCGAAGCGTCCGACCACCGCACGCTCAGCCCTCCGCCTCGCGCGTCGCGACGCACTTCGACGACGCGCGCCGACGTCCGCGCGCGCGCGCCGCACTCCCCCAAAATATCCTCCAAAGCCTCATCCCACCCCCCAGTCCTCGCTATGACGCGTCGTATCACATCCTCCTCGCGCACGAACGTCCCACGCGACGCGCATACTCGTCCGAACGTCCCGCGCCACGTCCGCGTCGCGTCTCGCGCCTCCAGCGCCTCCGTCCACGCCTCCACCCCCAGCCCCTCACCCCCCGTCCCATCGCGCGTCCACCGCGATCCGTGATCCCACCGCGCATCACCACCCCCATGTCGCGCGCACGCGCGTCCGCCCAGCGCGCGTCCGGCGTCGAAGACGTCCACCGTCGCCGCGCGGTCGCTCGCCGTCCGCGCGCGCCACGCGCACGACACCCCCGACACCCCCCCACCCACGATCGCCACCCGCGGGTACGCACGCGACGCCGCGGACGCGACCGATCGCGCGGACGACGCGGCGCGCGCGCGCGCGCACGGTGGCGGGAACATGGCGCGTCGACGTGTCACGCGGCACCCAACGAACGAATCGCGTCGACACTGCGTCGCGCGCGACGATGGACGCGTTGCGACGATGGACGACGGGATACGATGACGTCGGGGAGTCGAGACGCGCGGTGCGTTCGCGGCGCGCGCGCGGACGCGGGCGGGATGGATGATTGATGATTGATGATTTGAGAATTGTGTCAAGAATGTGGAATTCGTGACGACGCGACGTCGGTGGGGCGACTCGAACGACGCCTGGGGCGCGCGCGGTGACTGACGATGGCGTGTGTCGACGTCGCGCGCGCAGGATGGGTCTGGATCGCGCGCGCAGGAGCCTGGGATTGATTTGACGACTCTGAAGGATGGCCTCGCGAGCTCGATGCGATCCGTCGCCGATCGCGGCATGGCGCTCTTCGGCGTTGAGCACGGCGGAGACGATGGGCAGAAGGGGAACGCGGCGCACATGAAACCGCCCACGCCGGAGTGGGATAAAGAGGCGACGGGTGGGCGACCGGCGGAGCGGGCGTCGTACGAGCGACGAGGCGGCGGCGGACCGACGGAACCGAGAGATTTCGGCGACGTTGGCTCGGGTGGGAAAGGCATGGCGAGTTATTCGTGGGATAATCCACCGCCCAAGCCCGGGAGGGCGAACGAGAGCGACGAGGATGAGGACGCGGTCAAGGAGAAGACGATGGAAGATTTGTTCGGGATGGATAAAGAACCGTCGAAGAAATTGTTGAAGAAAAAGGCGGCGCGAGCGAAGGAACCCGGAGCACTCCACGCCGCGGTGTACGCCGGTGATACCGTCGACGCTCGAGAGCTCCTCGAGCTCGGGGCGAACGTGAACGAGGCGAAATCAGAGGAAGATTCTAAGACGCCGTTGCTCGTCGCCGCGAGCAAGGGCAACGCGGACATGGTCAGACTCTTGCTCAAGAATGGCGCTGACCTGGACGCCAAGGACGATTGCGATAACAACGCGCTGCACATCGCGTGCTCTAAGGGTCACGCAGACGTCGCGAATCGACTCATCAAGGCTGGATGCGATGTTGCATCGATCGCGGGCAACGGCGCCACCGCGCTTCACCTCGCGGCGAGAAAAGGTCACGACGACGTCATCGATCTCTTGCTCGAGCACGGGATGGACATCGAATCCGTCGATGGTAAGGGCGCCACCGCACTGCATGCCGCGTGCAGCGGAGGATACGAGCACGTCGTGCTGTTGCTCATCAAGCACCGCGCGAATGTCCACGCCGTGGATGGCAAGGGCAAGACGCCGCGCCAAATCGCCACGAAAAAGGGACACGACGATTGCGCCAAGATCATCAAAAAAGCCATCAAAGAAGAAGAGGCCAACGCAGCGGCGACAAAGAGGCTCGCTGAGGAACGCGCTCAGCGCGCCAAGCTCAAGGAGGAAGCCGAAACCAAGGCGGCGCTCGAGGCGCATCGATTGCACGAAATCGAAGTCCAGCATCCCGAAGCTCCGGCGAACGACGTCGTCGAGGGATCTCCCGCAGTCTGCGAAGAAACCGCGACGGAAGTCGAAGAATTCGCGGAATCCACCGGCGAACCCATACCTGAAACCGTACCCGAACCCGAAATGGCTGAGGAAACGTGAACCGTCACCTCGGGATTGTAAAATGACGCGAACAGTCACCTCACTCTCCATCTCGCGCGCGCCATGCCCGCGGACGGCCGTGAGCTCGATAACGGTCGCAGTAGCGCCTTAGAGGACTCCGAGGCGGCTCGATCGCACTGTCGCATCTGTCTCGAGGGTGAGGACGACGACGAGGAGGATGGGGACGCGACGCGCGGTGGTCCACTCATCGAACTCCACTGCGCCTGCACGGACGCGCACGTCCATCGGTCGTGCGCGAGTCGCTGGTTCGGGGCGCGAGGAACAACGATGTGTGAGATCTGTAAACATGACACCGGGCTAACGGGACTCGAAACGCCGCTAGCTTTACGTGTGTCGCGCGGCACGATGCGCGTATTGGGATGGCGTCGAGACGAGGCCGACGACGAAACCGAAGCGGCGGTCGGTCCGTCCTTTGGAACGGTGATTTATATCTTCCTGTTCGAGCTCGCCGTGGTTTGGTTCTCACTTGAGATCATCATGGGATACACCACCGGAACCGCGCTCGCGATGGCGTACGGATTTGCGCTATCGCTGCTCGTCGGATGTTGCACCTTCATCTACCCGTTACGTCAAGCGCGAGTCAATCGAGACGATTCTCGACACTTTCTCTGGGCGTACGCGCTGTGCATGTTCATATCCCATCAAGTCACGTTCTTCATATCGCTCCAAGCGATTCAGTCTCGAAAGAACCGCGCGAAAGAGGCGATTTCCCTCACGCTCGCGCTCTCCATCGCGGCTTTGGCATACCCGCAGTTCGTCGTCTGCGTTGGATGTCTCTGGCGCTTCTTCGCGAGCGACGACCGGTGAGAACGCAGAGATCATTAATTGTCCGAATGTTGTAAACTACCATCGCGATCGCTGGATCACCCGCGCGTCGTCACGTATCTTTCTCCTCCGGAGCGAACGCCGGCGTTCCCTCCATCGCGCCTCTCGACGCCTCGTACATCATATAATTACTCAACCCTCGAATCGCGCCCTCTCGCAGCTTACCAATCTTCTCTGGGTCGCTTTCATGCATGTGTCTGCGCCACGGCTCTCGCACGGTGGCCCGTAAAACGTCCCGAGGGTACCCTTGCTTGTGCGCTAAGAAATCCGCCACGCGCATGCAATCTCGATACAGCTTCAGCGGCTGTTCTAATAAGAACTCCAAACCCGTGGACGGGCCGCTCGATGTATCGCTCGTCATCGCTCGCGACGACGCGCGGAGCGCGCGGGCGCTCGAGCGCACGGCGCGCATGAGAGTGTGGAATTGAAGTCATGAATTCAGCCTCTCGTCATTTCTTCACGCGTCTCATCGCGCGCTCGGGCGTTGGATACGGCGGAAAGATGTACGTTTACGTCCGTCGCGTCTCGTCTCGACGCACGGCGCGATTCGTGTCGCGCACGCGCGTGGAGTGGGAGAATTCGATCGCGATCGTCGGGCGGCGGCGCGAATTCAATGCACTCGAAGAAAACGAAACGCGCGCGACGCCTTGGTGTGACACACGGAGACTGACAGCGTGGACGTTCTCGTGTACGATAGGTACCTCATGTATTACACGGACGAGAAGGGCGAGCGGGTGTACACGCTCAAGGTGCGTTCGGCGAAACGGCGGAAACCTCGCGCGGGAGACGTCGAGAGCGAATCAAGGGAGACGATAGGAATAAATCGAGAGACTGACGAGACGAGCGAATTGAATAACGCGTAGAAAACGGCGCCGGATGGTACGCCGACGCACTCGGCGCACCCGGCGCGATTTTCCCCGGACGATAAGTTTTCCAAGCAGCGCGTGGCGCTGAAGAAGCGCTTTGGTCTGTTACCTACGCAACAGCCGGCGAGAGAGTTATGATCGTCGGACGATTTGTAGTGTACAGTAGCGACGATTTTTGTCGAATAATTATCGTAGAAAATGATCCGGGCGGGAGTAATAATTGCAACAGATTCGTCACCACGTGACGCTAGCGGGGAAAACTTTCAACATGCGCAACACTTCTTCGTAGGTTCGACCGCCTCGACAGTGTCGTTCGCGTCGGGCTGGTTCGCGGACAACCCATCCACTTCGAATTCGGTACGCATGGTCGTGAAACGCTCTAAATCCTTCCCCACAGGCGACGGCAGCTCTTCCTGCGCGTCGAAGAAGACATCGTACATATCGCGCACGCTACTCTCGCGACGAAGCACCCCTGGCGCGGCGCCGAGTGAGGACTCCACCCCGGCGATTTGATTTTTAATCCAAATCTGCGTCGCTCCGTGCGCCGGGATGAGCCCTTTCTTTGCCTCCGCCTTGCCGATGTCCTTTTTATCGCAGCACACCATGTCCTTCGTCAGCGTCGTCGAATCGCCGAGTTTATCCATGAGCTTTTCCCACATCTTGGTTCCACTGCCGTAAATGTGCACCTTGCTGACGGTTTTCGCGTCTAAAAATTGTTTCACGATGGCCCAGATGAATGAGAAGATTCTCGGCGCGTTGACAATGTACGCCGCGTACAGCCCCTCCGGATAGTTGTCCTGCGCCAACGCGCTTCCCTTCTTTACCAGCGCCCGCACGTCGCTCGTGAACCCGCTCATGGTAAGCCCTTTAAGATCCCACACGTTGATCACCTGCGTGATCGGCTCCCCTGCTCGGTACGACGCCTCCGGGTAGACGACTTTCGCCTGCCATTCGAGCGTCTGCACCTGGCTCTTCAAAAACTCGTCATCCTTCATGTTCGCCAAGATATCGCCCCACGGCACAGCCGCCGTGTGTTCTAAATAAACTGGATGTCCCGTCTTCCCGAAACCGGCGTAATACGCCGGGATCTTCGCCACATGCACCAGCTTGTCGTCGTCGATCGGCTCTCGCAGGCACGCGTCGACGGCGTGCTCCTCTCGCCATTTCAGCGTATTCTTCAACATCTCGTACGATTTCTCCGCCGTTTTCCGCGCTCGAACGTACCGCAATAATGCTCGCTCTTCCCCACCGATCGATTCGTGCGTCATAATCGCCGGAACGCGCAGACCATCGCGTCGCAACCATTGTCTGAGCGATCGAATGCTCTCTCGCTCTTTTTCACTCGGCGCCGCGTACGCGGGCGCTCTCTCTCTCGCGCGCGCGCTCGTGACCTTGGACGTGGCGACCATGTTCGCCCGCCCGACGCCGACCGACGCCGCCTCGCGCGTGCGTCGCCGTGTGCGCGACGCGCGAGCGATCGCCGGTGGTCTCCGGACCGCATTCGAGCCCGTCCCGACTCCCGGGTGTTTCGAGTCTCCGTATCCACGGGTCGTCACTCGTCAAACACGCCTCCGGGCGACCCCACGAACCCCACCCATCGCGCGCGCACACCGCGCCGCCCATGGCCTCCCCCGACGCCCGCGCGTTCCTCCGACGTCTCCAGGGATGCGATCGAAACGACGTGTGCGCCGATTGCGAGACGAAGAACCCGCAGTGGGCGAGCGTGAGCCACGGGAGTTTTATCTGCCTCGAGTGCAGTGGCATCCATCGGTCGCTGGGCGTGCACGTCTCCTTCGTGCGAAGCGTCGGGATGGACTCGTGGAGCGAGGCGCAGTTGAAAAAGATGAGCGCCGGTGGGAACGGGACGCTGAATGCGTTTTTGGCGCGACACGGAATTGAAAAATCGTGCGACGTGGCGAGTAAATACAACTCGGCGGCGGCGGCGGCGTTCCGGGACAAGGTCAAGACGGAATCGGAGGGCGGACGATGGATCGAACCGAAGAACATCGAGCGTGGGGTGAAAAACGTGGACGGTGGCGCGGCGAAAATGGGAGGGGCGGCGATGGGGGGACGCGGCGGCGGCGACGACTGGGGCTGGGGCGAAGGCGGAACGAACGCGCCTCGAGCGAGGCCGGGACAGGAGTATACGCAGGCGGATTACATGCGCAGCGCTTCGAATAAAGATGCGTTCTTTGCGAAGCAGCAGGCGCTGAACGCGAGTAAGCCAGAGGGATTACATCCGAGTCAGGGCGGCAAGTACGTCGGGTTCGGATCGGGCGGCGGCGCGCCGCCGAGGAGGGAGGATGACATCGACGCCATCATCGGTCAGGTGACCAATGTGACCTCTAAGCTGGGACAGTTCACGATGAGCGCGGCGAATCGCGCGGCGCAGGCGACGTCGTCCATCGTGAGCAACATTTCCGATGGCGATTACGACGCGCTGCAGCATCGCGCCAAGCACACGGCGACCGCGGCGGCGAGCAAGGCCTCGGAACTCGCTCAGACGGGTTGGAGTTTCTTCAAGACTGCGTCACAGCAGGCTATGAAATCGTTCGAGACGCTGACGAGCGACATTCCTACGACGGGATTCGACGACGGGTCCTCCGGGCGGCGCAGCGGCGACGTTGGCTGGAACAACGGCGGAAACGGCTGGAACGGCGGAGACGACGAATATCGCGGTGATCCCATCGCGGCGCAACGAGATGATTTTTTCGCTCGAAAGCAAGCGGAGAACGCGGGTAGACCTGCGAATCTTCCACCTTCACAGGGCGGCAAGTACGCCGGTTTCGGAAGCCAATCGAGCTTCCAATCGGCGCAGTCGCAACCGCAGTCGCAACGAAGTTTCAGTCGGTCGCAGAGTTACAGTCAGCCGCCTCCGCGACAGGCGAGTGGACATTCGAGTCGACACTCCTCGCGACCGCCCTCGAGGTCGGCCTCGGTGCACGACGAGTGGGGCGTCTCCGACAGCGAGGACCAACCGGCGAGCTCAAAAAAGTCGGCAGAAGAAGACGACTGGGGCGACGCCGATTGGGGAACGTAGTGGTGCTTTTATTAACACGCATTCAATTTGTGGCTACACGATCATTACTAATGACAACTCTCTTGACTCACGCGGCGCCCGGAAATCCGTCCGCGCCGCCTTCTTCGTCCGCGCCAGGCATGCCATCCTGAATCCCCGCATCTGTCGCTTTGCGTTTCACCCCACCCGCGCCCCATCCTCGTAACTTGCCCGCAGGTGCGCTCTGTGCCGGCGTCACTCCCGGGGGAGCCCCCGGCGGGGGTGCCGCACCCCTGGGGGCGCCCGACGGCGGTCCTGGCGGCCGCGGTCCCGACGGCGGCGGTCCCGGCGGCGGCGGTCCCGGCGGCGGTGCCCCGCGCGGCGGCCCTGGAACCTCCATCGGTCCCGGCGGCGGCCCCGGAACCTCCATCGGCCCTTCTGGCAAAGCAAACCGCTCCTCCTTGCGCGCCAAGTGCTTCGGCGGCGGCCCTGGAGGCAGAGGCGGCGCCTTGAACGTCGCGTCCGGCGCCTCCCGCGGCTGCATCGCCATCGCCATCGCCTTCTCTCGCTCCCTCTGCTTGAACGATTTCGCCCCGTGCAAGTGCCCCGGCTGTCCAACCAGTGCCATTTCCTCCACCGGAGGCGGAGGTCCCGGTAACTTGACGTGACGAAACCGACACAAGTTCCCGTGTATACAGAACCCGAGCTTGAACATGTTACAATCCTTCACGTCCTCCAACGAGTGCTTGTACGGACAATCCGGCTCCTTGCACTCCCCGTACTTGGCGTAAAACCGACACGTGGGCATGCGCGACTTGTCGAACTGATGCAAGAACCCGCACGCGTTTCCTTTCATGCACAAGTTTCTCAACCAGTGCCTGCAGACCGTCTGTCGGTAATTCTTACGTCCGCGTTCATTGAGCTCCGGGGGCGGGGCCTGCGGTTGCGTGTCGTTCGCGTCGAGCTTATCCTCAAAGTCAAAGTCCAGGTCCGCGTCGTCGTCCATGGCGTGAAGCGCGTCGCCGAGTGCGGGGCGAATTCACGATCGCTGACCCACAGATTCGCCACTCGACGACGCAGTTTTTAAGAAATGCCCGGCGTCGAGGGCGTCGCCACGCGACGCTCGGCGCTCATCGGATTCGCGAGTGGTTTCGTGGTCCAGAGACGCGCGTGGGCGAGTCCGTCGTTCGACGCGTACGCCGGGAAGGCGTCGAATCGAATCAGATTCGAGCGACCGAAAGAGTGGACCACCGCGGTCGATCGCGTCTACGACGCCGATGCGAGCGTGTCGTACGGTGGAAACACGATATCATTGATCGGTAACTTTAAATCCGTCGATACGATCGCGGTGAGGGTCGAACGGGCGTCACGAACGGCGGTGGAGGCGGGGAAGAGAGGCGACGCGACGGGCGTCGCCGAGGCGTTGACGGCGGCGGAACGCGACGCGGTGGCAAACGGAGGTTTAGTTGGCGTCATCGGTGGCGTCGAGGGCGGGCAGACGGGAACTATTGGGTTTGATTTGGATCCCACGGTGACGATGCGGGAGGATGGTGTAAGTGGTCGACGGTATTTCACGTACGCGTACGAGACCAAGGTGTGTCGCGGGAGCATCGACGAGGAAGGCTTGGGGGGCACGCGGACGTGCGTGGGACCGAAGGGTGACGTGTTACCTATCATTGAGCGTAAAAACGCGTGCGTGGTGACGTTCGTGGGCGATCGCGTGGTGAAGTTACACGCGTCGGCAGTGACGTCGCGGTTCAACGAGCCAGAGGTGCAAGAGATAATGAATCGCGCGGTGGAGACGTTTACGCTCGATGTCGTTTGACGGAGGGACGGTAATTGTCATAGTCTAGCTCTGATAAATCACAATACGTCCTAGAAGTTCATTTCGATGTTCACCTGTGAGCAGCCATCTGGCTCGCCTGCCACTTGGCGGCCTCAGAGTTGACGAGCGCGCCCATGGCGTTGCCGTCGTCCAACACAGTCTTCTCGCCCTCGTCGGTCATCTTTCGATCGCACTCACCGTACTTTTCACCCACGCACAGCTCCAACGCGGTGGGGTACTTTGCCAACGTCTCGAACGCGGGTGCTAACTCGAAACACTCGGAGAACAATCCGTGATTGCCGAACACGTACAGGCCTAGTCGAGCGCGTGAAAACGCGACGACGAGACGGCGCACGTCTCTGAGATGCCCCACCGTGTTGCTGCGCACCAGAGAGAGCAAGATGAAGTCGTTCTGCTGACCTTGGAACTTATCCACGGTAGTGATGTCACGCGGGGTACCGAACAGCGGGTGATTGGCGCACCGGTGATTCACGACGTCACGAAGCAGCGCCTTTTGGCCGTTGTACGTGGTGAGGATGGAAATCTTCTCCGCTGGGTATCCGCACATGCGCATGTACTGGAACACACTCACGAGGTACTCCGCCTCGGTGAGGTTCTGGTAGAAGAACGGAGTGGGCGCGGACTCTTCCCCTTGCACGTCCACGAATTGCAGGGGGTGCGCGAAGCCGGCGTTCGCGAGCGTGTACGCGCCCTCCGCCGTGTTGGGCAAGTTGCCCAAGTTCTTGTACCGCCAGTTGTACAAATCGGCGATCTCGGCCCGCGCACGACCTTGGGCGTCGAGTTGCATGTAGGGCGTGCCAAGTCTCACGAAGCGCGCGAACATGGATTGATCCATGTTCGAGTATTTTTGAAACGCCATGTGTTTCACTACGGGCGGAAGCTGGTTGTGGTCGCCGATCATGACGACACGCTTGAGACGCGAGTGACCGTCTTCGTTCTTTTGCAGCAGCATGGGGATGAAGGTTTCAATCTCCAGTATTTGCGCACCTTCTTCAATCACCAGGTTGTCGTATCGCAGGCTTTGGTTGATGAAATCATGTCTCTTTAGCGCAGCGTGCGTGCACGTCATGGCGATGATTTTCGCCTGCTTCGTGAGCAAGTACTCGGAGCGGTCGCCCTGAACGCGAAGTAACTCGAACGCGCGGCATTCTTCGAGTTCGGTGAACATCACGCGCAAGTGTCGCATACACCCTTTCGCGCGCTTTAAGTCATCTTCCTTGTCTTTTCCCGCGAATAGCGGTTGGTTCGGCGCGCTCGCAAAGTAGTCTTTGAACGGAAATGACTCGGCGACGAAACTCGGCGAGTCGCTCGCCTCAAAATCTGCCGTGAACTTCTCCCACTTTGCGAACACGTGAATCTTCCAAAAGTAACCGGCGGTCTCGCACGTGTACGCGACGTCTTCACCGTTCAAACCGATCGAGTCCGCGAGCTTTTCAACCTCGGCCAAGATTTCCAAGCGCTTCTTTAACATGGCGTCAACGCGTCCCTGTCGTGAGAAGCTCAGCTCGGTGTCGAGATCTGACTCCCCTTGGCCGAGACGCAACATATATCGCGCGGGGACATCGCGCTGTAAAAGCTTGACGAACAAATCGTTCAACGCCGCGTTCGAGTGCGTGATCAAAAGCGTGCGCTGACCGGGCTCGTTGTGATACAGACAGTGCATAATTTGCGCCGCCGTGTCCGTCTTTCCCGTGCCCGGAGGGCCGACGACCATGGTCAATCCCGGATTCAATCCGGCCCTGATCGCCGCGACTTGCACCGGGGTGAAGCGTACCTTGTTCAAATTGGGCTGATCTTCCGGGTACGGACCGGGATCGGGAGGGATGTACGACTCCACCTCGATCACGTCTTGGCGCTCGTCCTCGGGCTGCGGAAACGTCACGCGAAACGGAGCCACGTGCTTCTTCGCTTGGTTTTTCCAGACAATCTTTTGCTCTGGGAATGATTGTGCCAAGTGATCTTCATCTAGGAACGTGTCCTTGAAGTCAATCGTGTGAAGTGCCTCATGCGTGTTCAAAAGTGCCGCCGCCGTGGGATCGCCGTAGCCCAAGAAGACGTCGTGCAGCCACTCTGGTATGCTGACATCAGCGTTCATCAAGTCACGAATGCACGCGAGAATCGCCTTGAAGTTGTTTTCCTTCGACTCGCGCCGGACGAGCAGATTGAGACGTCTATACACGTCCTCTCCCTCGCCATTCCTATGCTTGTTGACATCCATCTGATACTGCGCCGTGTCCAGGGCGAGCGTAAACACGCGCCTCGTCCCGGTTACCTTCTTGTGTTCCCCGTCATCCTCGCGCGGGTTCCGCGACTTGAAAGCGTCGAGAAACGTTCCCTCGCCGTCGCGAATGTTGATCACCTCGGCGCCTCGAACGTGGCGAAGCCCGAAGTGATCGGCGGGGTTCTTTGCAGAGCTTGAACTCGGACCCGTGCCCTCGACGTCAAGCATGAAGACGACGTCGTGCACGCGCAACTGATCCCACTCCTGGCGCACATCCGGGCGGGCCGACTTGAAGTCTACTGAAACTTCTACCGTGACGGACGATGGCTTGGATTCGCCGACGTTAGGCTTGGTCACGTCCACAACGGTGACGCCGCTCGGCGGGATCTCCACAGCCTTTCTCGCCCAGCCATGGAAACGCGCGCGAGCGCCCTCGCCGTTCCCCATGGGTTGCATGCGCTTCATCACATCCGCCAGGTCTTCGCGAATCTCATACGTCGCTTCCAATCGGAACAGGTTGAAGTTTCTGAGCAAATAGTCCTGCATCGTTAAGAACTGCAGGTTCAACTTTGGCAGCGCGAGTGCGCGTTGGCCGTCGTACTCGATGCTCGGAATGATGTTTTCGTTCCACAACACGTCCTCGTTCGGGTAAAGCGGCATCGAATTGATCATCTGTCGCTGACTTCGACGCTTTTCGAACGTGTCTACCATGACCTCGAGCAAGAACTTCGGGTCTTGCGCCATGGGATCCTCCGGGTCCACCAGCAGGAGCTCGGACGTGACGAGGTTTCGCAACTCCTCGGGCTCGAGCGCGGAGAGATGCTCGATGAGATTTTTCCGTCTCTCGATCCCTGCGCAGTTACCCAAGGCGAGATCTTTCAATTTATCCATGTGGTGCTTGAAAGCGAGCCTTTGAAGCTGCAGCAAACGATCGTGATGCGCGGACATGATATCCTCGTCGTTCAGCGCCGCGCCCGTGTGATCGTCGATTTCAAAGTACATGTAAAAGGCGAACAGATCGACCAACTGGGCGTACAGGCGCCCGCTCGGGGCGGCGTACAGCGGAACCATGCGCGACTTTACCAACAGTGCCTTGTCGCTCATGAGCGTTCGCGTGAATCGACGCGTCGGGAGCTGCGAGAGCAAATCGATCGCGAGCTCCATGAAGCGCTCGCAAAACTGCACCGATTGCTCATCCTCCACCTCAGCGGCCCGAGCGATGAAATCGTCCATCATTCGAACGAACCAGCACGATTCTCTGCGCTCGGTGATCGGGACGTGCGTCGCGCCCTCGTCCGCCGCCTTTTTCGCCGCCTTGGCTTCCTTCTTCAAGAGCTTGGCGTGATGCTTCGCCAGCGCCTCGTGCTTGGTCAACTCCAATCGCAACCGCCCGTCGCTTAATTTCGTCCACAGCGGTAAGGAGACGAGCGGCAACATCACCTTTCGCACCGTCTCCTTCTCCAACGACGCGAACGCGCGAATGGCAAACATGACGCACGCCGTCTTCTCCGTCGTCGTCATGCGCTCGTACTCGTCCAGCGCGCGTTCGAACACATTCCTAAACGATCCCTCGTTCTCCGCACCCTCAAACATCGAGAACCCATCAACGTCCTGTCGAAACTTCTCCGCCACGACGTGCATGACGGACACGCAGTGCGCGACGTCGCACGACGCCCGCGCCCGCGACCCGCGCGCTAAGAATCGCTCGCCGTACGACGTCGCGTCCAACACCCGCACCCGCGCCGTCTCCGGCATTCGCCGCCCCCCTTGCAGCTCGCTCTCGTACACCTCCCGCGCGACGGCACCATCGTACCGCACCTCGCCCGACCCGCTCCAATGTTTCGCCGCCCGCGCGCTCGTCGGATCGTCCCGAATCGCCCCGCGCGTCATCCGTCCCCCGTCTCTCGCGCGCGCCCGCGTCCCGCCCCCGACGCGCGCCGCGCCCGCACCGTCCGCGCTCGATCGCGCGCGTTTCACCGCCGGCCGTTCGTCGCCGCCGCCGTCGTC